CTACTACTACTACTACTAACTGCTAATACCACACAACTGCGACGACTTCGACTACGGCTGTGGCTGCGGCAGCGACTGCGATTATGACGACAACGCCTGGGTGAGACTCCACTAAGCAATACAAGGAGAGTAAGGGCTACAACTGTAATGGTGACAATGCTGTGATGGAAAAGGAGAAGCAAGAATAAGGGAGCGAAGGAGAGGGAGAGAGAGAGAGAGAACCCACAACCCTGACGAAAGAAAAGACAGAGAGAGATAGCGAGATCATGCCGTGGAGAAGAAGAAACGAGAGAGAGAGAGAGAGAGTATGGTCACCTGCGGTAATTACCCCAGGGGGATCTTCTCCGGCAAAGAACCGCAGCTGCGCGTTCGCGTGCGGGGGGAAGGGCCCGGACTGCCCTGACCTCCATGGCTGTTAGAGAGAGAGAGAGAGAGAGAGAGAGTATGGTCATTTGCAGCAACCTCGGCGGGGGAGTTAATGGTGTCCCTGCATGTTTTCCTTTCCGGGGGAGACTCCACTTCCGCATTCTTCGGCACGGGGGGTTCGTGCATGGTGAGTATGTTTTTCCGGTTCGTGGAGTCTATCCCGTGGTACGTGTACTGATACTCCCCCCGAAAGCCCCACTAATACCTGGGGGGCCCTATGGGCCGGGGGGCCTTACTCGCCCCGTAGACCCGGCGGAAGAACAGAGAGAGAGAGACAGAGAGAGAGAGAGGGGCGGAGAGAGCGAGAGAGAGAGCGAGAGAGAGAGAGAGAGAGACAGAGAGAGAGGGGGACGACCGTTCAGGCCGTAAGAAGAAAAGAGAGGTACGAGCAAACAAAAGAAGAGTTTGCGCATAAGCACCACGCTCGATGCAGTTTAGGGTTGCGCGCTTTGCGACCGAAGGCAGTCCACAGCGAAGATCGTGATCTTGAGAACGGCTAGTCAAGTGTTGGCCACATGTGATGCGGTCATTTGCGAAAACTAACTTGTGTCTGGATTGTCAAGAAAACTTAGTGAAACACAGTTTGAAGTTGGCGGTACTGAGAATAACGTCAAAATCAGCTTTGCACAACTGCACATGGAAGCTGGTAGCGACATGCATGGACCACAGCGAGTGTGAGTTCGCATGCGAAGTTTGAGCATGACATGGAGCCTACACAGGAGACGGCAGATGAGGAGGAGGTGTAAATAAATCAGGCAGTACGGGTCTCGAAAGGTGTGATACTGTCCCGAACCGGCATGGACCTTGGTGCTTCTGAGCGAACTCACGCTGTGCTGCAGCTTTTAAGCACTCGACATATGTCGAAAAGGTAGACCTATCACTCACTCACTCCGCGACTCCACAAGACTGGGACGTGCAGCCCAACTTGACAACCGCAAGCTTTCGCCTCTATCGAATCCAAACCCAAGCCTTATCCATACCAACTTCCAGATCTTCCAGCTTGGAACCCTCAGCTGAAAGCGGCAGATCCTCAACTTGGCCCTCACAGCGTCCGCTACGCCCCATGGCTACAGGGTCCCAATGGCATGGCGCACCGGCCAAGCGGCGGCAGCAGCCCCTCGAAGAGTAGGTGGGATTGACAAGGGTTTTGGCGAGAATCCGGGAGAGCCAAGCTGGACAGGTTGAGCCGTGATGCCGATGCCACGCCCACGCGCATTTCCCCATCGCCGAAGTTGCTGACGCTCGGAGGATCCCGGCTTCTGTTGTGTTTGGGACTGTTCCCCCCAATAGGAGGAGGCTGGGAGTGCACGGCTCAGTCCGATACGCTCGACAGTAAAGTGACACTACATGACTGACAAGAGAACGACCTCGCCGCCTCGCCCGATGCCAGGAGGCGGTCGGAGTCCTTCAGCATCGCCCATTGGCACGGAGCGCTTCCCTCTTGCCACTTACTCTTCAGGTTCAAGATTTGGTCAGACTCCGTTGCAGCAGAGGCAACAAAGCTGCAACGCAGGCAACGCAGACTAAGGACATAATCTGCTCGTCCCACCATTTTAGGAATATCTATACGTTGCAGCATGTGAAGAAGACGGTCTGTGACAGGTGGTAGCGAGGGCGTCGAGGCTTGAATGCAAAGTCCAACTAAGAGAAGAACCGCTACAGAGACCCACAATATGGTGGCAGATGTTGTAACCAAGCAGAAGACTACAGCAGCAAGCACTGTCACATCATGTTTAAAGTGGCGGCCACCACTGCTGCTTCACGAGCTTTCAGGAGCTCCCGGCCATCGATGTCACCTTCCGGGGCTCCGCCTCACCTCGGCCACGGAAGCCGCCGCACGCGACGCACTTCCCGGTGGTCAGGCCGGGGAGCGGGTCGCCGCGAAGCTTCGGAGAGATTTGCAGACATGACAGCAAAAGTCTCTAAGGCGAGCGGATGCTTCGGCACGGACCCCTTCCACTTCCAGCTCGCAGGGTCCCATGAGTTTGGGCCTGCACGGGAGGCGAGTCGAGGGGATCTTCAGGGTCTCCGACGAGATGCGTCGCATGATGCCAGGAGAGTTTCGGCCGGTACAGCCACGAAAGAGACCACTGGCATCCCCCATGAGATCTTGGCCCGAGGTGGCTGCGATGATGTCATAGCTTGCACAGATTCCTCTGGTGATTTTTAGTGCATCCTGCGTGGAAGGCGATCGCGCACAACGAAAGTTCCGAGAGGCGCTGGCAAAGGGCAAGGCCCAACCCAGGAGAGACCCACATGTTCTGGTCTCGTCAGACGAGCGCTTGCTGCTCCAAGTAATCTAGCAGGACGTGAGGGCCGGATCACGCCGTAAGACTCGGCAAGTCAGGCTATCTTGCATGCCTCGAGAGTTGCATGGCCCTGTGTCTGATCCGAAAGCCCTCGACTCTGAGAAGGCAGAGGTGGAAGGCACGGTCTCTAGGAGAGGTCTTTCCGGTCCGTGAGCTTCGGTGCATCGTGCAGCCATGGATCTGTGTCTGGACGGATGTGATTCGGGCTTGGATGGCCTCGGCCCCTCGCGGGGCTGGTCCATGAAGCACGGCCACCGCAAGCGATTGGACGCCGCGAGCTGCCAGAACCCCAAAAAGATGGGGAAGGCAAGCGAGGAGGTGCCCCGGCAGCAACGAGCGACCTGACCCTGGTCCTCGAAAAACAAAGCCAGGTTTTGTACAGAGTCCGACAGTTCGACTGCGTCCTTCAAAGATGTAAAGGGTTACTTCCTTTGAGCGTGGATGTCAGGTCGGATTGGGCCGATCGGCTGCGAAGCGCAGCGTGAACAGTGGCAGCCGTAATGCGTGGCGGGATCCATCGTACTTGGGCAAGTATGGTTGCGACTACCATCCGCAGACCCGCCGCAACAACTTGAGACGGTCGATGCGGGAGGCGGTGTACCAAAGCGCAGAGCTGGAGAGCGACTGGGATGACTGCGTTATTCTGTCTTTGGAGCATGTTGGTTCGTTGGAGGCCAAGTGGGAGGATCTGGAGGTGGCATCTGTCTGCTCCTCAACCACAGCAGGCTTCGGCACCGCTTCCACTGCTTCCGACTTTGGCTGGGAGTTCCTGCAGCCAATCACGCCGAGCCGCCCTTGCGCTCCAAAGATCGATATCTCCCCATGGCAGGCGGCCCTGCGCCGAGCGGAGCTCACGGCTAAGGAGTATGCGCAGCAATGGGGCACCGGAGAAAGTCAGAGAAGGAGGCGTTGCAAGCGAGCCCCGGTCGTTGAAAAGACCGAGACTCAGAAGCTAGCAGACGAGCTGAAAAGCAAGTACCAAGTGAGCCTTCACTATGATCTGCCATCCACGGGCCCTGCCACGCCGTTCGAAAAGCTTCGATGGAAGTTTCTGAAGGATCACGCCAATGCCTTCTGCACTTCTCTTTCTGGCCTGTATCTGAGTTGTGGCCGGCAGTGGCACTTGAAGCCTGCACCAGTGGCTCGAGCTGTGGAGGACCGCGGTTTCGTTTTACATGTGCACAAGAGGGGAGCCAGGTGGACCAGAGGCAGACGGAGAGCGGTCGTAAAGCTTACAGATTTGCCAAGCAGAGATGCTTCCCAAGCTTTACGCCTTTACGCGAAGCATACAAACTTGTCCAGAGACCTCCCAAAATGGTTGTAATGCAATAGCGAGAGCGCGCGAGATGTGTTAGATGAAACGCCATTGCAGAGGACCGATTTCTCAGTGCCTGCGATCGAGCAGCGGAAGGCGAGCTGCAGCCGGCCCTGCACGGTACAAACGAGTCCAACCTGTCCTCCATCTATTCCCGGGGGCTTCTCATCCCCGGAGAGGGAGGGAACGGTGTGAGGATCGTGAACGGATCCGTGCACGGTGTTGGAATCTACACCGCCTACATCAAGGATGCAGGCTTGTCCTGGTCTTATTCCCGCGGTGAATCTAGGCCAGTACTTGTCTGCGGTGTTTTGGATCCAAGTACGAGAAAGACCGGTCCCGAGAAAAGCTCAAGCCTGGTGACCTACACACCTTCAGCGCGGATCTTCTTTAAGGATGATCTCGTTTCGCCACTCTTCGAGGCATCCCTTGGCAGCATCCCCGCTGTTGCTAGCTGCGCTAGCTGCACTGTGCCAACTCCCACTGTTGTGGCGCCCCCTCGCCGGATCCTTCCACCGGATCCAGCGAAGCCAAAGGGCCCTGGGCCTCGGACGCGACTGAGGCCCACAGTGACGATCTTGCGCGGCCCTCAGGCCTTCTTGGCCCGACGTGCCGTGCGCAAGCGTCAAACGTGAGCGAATCGAATGTACAGTGTACAGCTTCCACCGAACGGTCGTCGATCGTCGAGTGTGGTACCACTGATTTGCCCAGGGCACCTGCGATTTTGGAGTCGAGGTTTGTTGAGTTACGATAAGGATGCCTGCTTCTTGAGCATCCGATATATTGTACAGGACGGTGGCCGGCAACGAACGTCGAGACACATCAAGTTGCAAGGCAGTGCAAGGCACAAAACAGGAAAGTCGTGAAGCTGCGGAGGGATGCAGTCTTGTCTCGGCATGTCTCGGCTTGGTCCGAAAGCCCTCGGCTCTGAGAAGGCAGAGGTGGAAGGCACGGTCTCTAGGGGAGGTCTTTCCGGTCCGTGAGCTTCGGTGCATCGTGCAGCCATGGATCTGTGTCTGGACGGATGTGATTCGGGCTTGGATGGCCTCGGCCCCTCGCGGGGCTGGTCCATGAAGCACGGCCACCGCAAGCGATTGGACGCTGCGAGCTGCCGGAACCCTAAAAAGATGGGGAAGGCAAGCGAGGAGGTGCCCCGGCAGCAACGAGCGACCTGACCATGGTCCTCGAAAAACAAATCCAGGTTTTGCACAGAGTTCGACAGTTCGACTGAGTCCTTCAAAGATTTAAAGGGGTACTTCCTTTGAGCGTGGATGTCAGGTCGGATTGGGCCGATCGGCTGCGAAGCGCAGCGTGAACACTGGCAGCCGTAATGCGTGGAGGGATCCATCGTATTTGGGCAAGTATGGTTGCGACTACCATCCGCAGACCCGCCGCAACAACTTGAGACGGTCGATGCGGGAGGCGGTGTACCAAAGCGCAGAGCTGGAGAGCGACTGGGAGGACTGCGTTATTCTGTCTTTGGAGCATGTTGGTTCGTTGGAGGCCAAGTGGGAGGATCTGGAGGTGGCATCTGTCTGCTCCTCAACCACAGCAGGCTTCGGCACCGCTTCCACTGCTTCCGACTTTGGCTGGGAGTTCCTGGAGCCAATCACGCCGAGCCGCCCTTGCGCTCCAAAGATCGATATCTCCCCATGGCAGGCGGCCCTGCGCCGAGCGGAGCGAGGGGCCAAGGAGTACGTGGCAAAGGTGGTGAATGTGGCAGAAGGCAAACGCAAAGAGTCAGCCGAAAAGAAGAAGGCTGCTCTAAGCAATGAAGCGAAATTTCTCGATGACCTGGGTCGCCTTCATCGGGCGCGTGTACATTATGATGATGCGAGCTTGAAAGAAGCAGCTCCATCCTTCGAAAAGCTGCGGTGGGGATTCTTCAAAGACTTCGGCCCCTCCATCTGCTCGGCTCTCTCAAGCTGCTACGATGGAGTCTGGCATCTGAGGCCTGCACCGATTGACAAGGAAGTGCAGCGGGTGTTTATGGATGCGCATCGGGCCTCCAAGAAGCCGGATGCACTTCAACCAGCACTGCATGGCACAAACCAGTCCAATCTCGGCTCCATCTACTCACGCGGCTTGCTGATTCCTGGGAATCACAATGGTCTTAGGGTTGTGAACGGATCGGCCTATGGGCTCGGCATCTACACAGCCTATGTGCATCAGGCAAGCATGTCCATGAATTATTCCCGGGGCCCTCTACGGCCGGTGCTGGTTTGTGGTGTGATTGACGAGAAGAGCGGAGAGACTCAACCCATGGGTCGCTCAGGAGACGTGTACTATACCAGCCACGCTCGCATCTTCTACAAGGAGGAGCTGGTGGCGCCTTTGTTCGAGGCGACAGTCTCAGGAGGCCATGCTACAGCCGGTGCTGTGCTGCTCCCGCCGGTCCGTCCACATCGTGCGAGATGCTTGGCTCGTCTCCGGGTACGGGCTCTGGAGCTAGCAGAAGACAGGAAAAGTAAGCCAAAGAAGGGCTTGAAGGGGCCGCGGACGCGGCTGAAGCCCAAGCCGGCGGCCTCGACCAAGGTTTTGTCCTCTGCGCAGGCTTTCCTGGCCCGACGTACGGTGCGCAGGCGCCAGCCCTGAGCGCTTCGAATGTACAGTGTACAGCATTGACGGTGTTGACCGTTCAGTTTTGCCTGAACTCCGCAAGTCGGATGTGTGGAGGTTAGAGGTTGTACAGAGGCTCCTGCAGTCACAGCTCAAGCTGCCTCTTCCTGAAAAACCTACCTGGCCTGAGTGTAACAGCTAGCACTGTACTGTAGACCAGATTCAGCATCCTCCGGTGACTTTCCTGAGTCTTCTGCCTGGCTTCAAGCTTGTGGCCTCACTGCCGCAGGACCTTAAAGGTCATGTTCGTTGGTCGAGGCCGCGCAGGCCCGGGTGCATGCCCGGACTGACACAGGGATCCTCCCAGTGACGGGCGGCCGAGTGAAACCATGCGTTTTCAGGGGTGCTCATTTTGGGGTCTTCTTATGGATAGTCCTATTGCAAGCACGAACACCTGCAAATCTGACAGAGCTCTGGCACCTCCGGCACATCCAGACAAGAAATCTACGGACGCACTCCATGAAAGACAGATGGAGGCAAGACGTCGACGCTGAAGTCACTCTGCAACGAGGCCTTTCATGTTGTGAGCTGTTGATAGGTTGCCACGCCCGTATCTGAGATGCTTCCGCTATAACGGTTTCAAGTCAGTGCGAGCATCGGCCAGTGACTGAATGTTGGCATTGTGTACCCTGGCCCTGTGAGGCCTTCGATGCCTCGGAAGCCTCAACCCATGGCGTTGCGGGCGCCGTTTGCACCACGGTGCGCTGAAGGGTGTGTCATGCGCTTTGGTGAGCTCAGATCTGTTGGAACAGAATACACACTGACACTGCGTAAGAACGACGGGTCAGCATAGTGCCCTTCCACGAGGTGATGCTTTCCTTGGCACCTTCTGCCTGTGATAGGAGCGGCGATTCGAGACAACGTCTCCTAGACGGGGGAGCAGCGAGTGGCGGCGGATGAGGCCCAACGAAGTTTGTCTTTGCCTCTTGGGGGCAGCTTGGCTCAGAAGGATTATCCAGTTTGGATGACACTTGGGAGCCTCGCCCGCGGCTAAATCCCGAAGATTTGCCCATTTCTGAACACGTTAAGTCCTGAGTCCCCCAAAGCCCGCTGAACACCATAAGCCCTACAGCCCCCGAGGCACTAAACGTTAACATAGAGGCCTTAATAATTATCTCTCCTATTTTGCAGGTTCCTTGTTATCATTAGAGTATCGTGTACCCCAAAACCCTATTCTCATTATTCAGGCCCCTAAACCTTGGAAACCCTTATAGTACCCTTTACAGTAAGCCTTGTAAAGGAACCCTTAAAGGGAACCCTATTCTAATTATTATTAAGGATTCTCGGAGAGGCGATTCCCCACATCGGACTTCGACTCCGTCGTGGCCCGGCACGTTGCGGCGGCGCTGCGGCGGGAGAACTCACCCGAGGCGGGTTTTGGGGACTCGGGTTTACACGTGTAATGTTTGGTGTTTGGATGGTTTAGAGTCGGTGAAAGTTGTTATTCAAACTTGTGACTTGTGCGGTTTCCTTATACTCGGCCCTAGAGGCCTTATCCTTACACTCATTTGCTTCTTTGTTTGTTGTTCCGGGTCTTGTTCCCCTGATCAATCATCACGAAAGCTCTCCCCAGGGAGCC